GCCATTTGCACACACAGTCTCCTTGATAACTTCTTCGGCAGTGGCTGAGGCACAGAGAACCCATCCCTTTCTGTTGTGCCCTCCTCTCTTCGGTGCATTCTGAGATCACCCACTGGTCTCTTGGGACCCCTCATTCCCCAGCTCCTCCCTCTGGTGGCTTCAAAGGGTGTACTTGTGGTGCTTTTGAGCTTTGGGTCATCTTTGCCCAGCATAACCATACTCTAGCCTTCCCTGACCCCTCATTAAAGTGCACATTGCCATGTTTACTTGGATAGTTGTGGGAAAAGGGGAGGAGGGAGTTCAGAAGAGAGGTGTCTTTTTCCTGTGATGGCCTCTTTGACTTTTATTTTCAGCCAAACAGGACTTTGGGAGAGTACCTGATCTCTTTGAGCTTCAGAAGCCACTTATCCTGAGCTTCCAAAGGTATTCTGTCGAGTCTGCAGGCTTCCTTTGCTGTGTTTATAACCGTTTCCTCCTCTGTGTCTTCCTAGCCAATGTCTTCAAATCGTCATGTTTCTTCCTTCCTCTGACATCAAGTGATGAGGCACATTACTGCAATAATTCACTGTCAAAGCAGCCTCACAGGCCCACTCCACCAGTTCCAGGCCTCAGCTGGTTCCCTTCCCCTCTGGGCTCGAACCAGCTGTCCTGGGAAGAATGTACTTCTGTTGTCACATGCCTAGGTGCAATCTCTTATTTCATCAGTGTCAATAAATAAATCCCCTCGTTCTCTCAAGCATCTCTCCGCAGTACTTCCAAATTTTAACATCCCTGGTTTAGTCCCATTGTCCTGCTCTGGTGGCTATGGCACATTCTTTCTAATAGGTTTAAATTACAGAAGCACAGACTGCCTCATTAAAGACTCACAGCCAGCTTAAGTCTGGGGATGGGGATGTCTTTACCATTGTTGTTCACATTCACTCTCCTTCTCTGGCCATGTGGACCCTCTAACTCTTGTTTGTCTTGCATTTATACATCATCACTACATGTGCCAGCTCCAGTCTTCTGTGTGCCCACCATCTGGTCTGTTCTTCCCATAACTGCCTGTCATACTCTGGCCTATAGAGCCGCTGGCCTGAACGTCCCTCTGGCCTCTACGGACCCATTCAGAGCCGATACTCACTTGTTTGCATTCTGACTCATCTAGTTAGTCCCGTCTCAGCACAATAGAAGGATCTGCTCACTCTGGCTGTTCAGGCTTCCTGTTCGCGTCGACTGCCCCTCCTGCCCATCTCTTCCCACTAGGAAGTCCTAGCTTCCCATTCTCTTTGCACAGCAGCCTCAGCCTCAGCCTCAGCCTCCGTTAGGCTCAGCAGCCTGCAACCATTTGGAACAAGGTCTCTGTCAGGCAAGTCAAGACTAGCCGCCCTCCCGTAGGGTTCTTCCGCTTGCAGAAGGTCCCCCAAAGACCCTCTGTCTGGATACCCGGGCCCTTTCAGCCTGGAAATGGCCATTCCCTTGGCCCTGCGGAGGGCAGCATTGCAGAGACGAGGGGAAGAAGAGGGGTAAAGTGGTCGTGGAAAGTGAGGGGATGGTGGCGGCATGGGATGGGAGGAGGGTTGTGAGCAAAGCGGCAGGAGCACTGTCTTACCCTACTGCCCCCCACTCCTGTCCCCACAGGCTGCTGGCCCAGCGGCAGCAACACTCCTTTGGTCTGCATGGGGTGGCATGCGTGGGCACGGAGGCCCACCTCTCCCTCTGTTCCTTGGAGTTCTATCGTGCCAATGACACCGCCAGGTGCCCTGGGGGTGCCCCTGTGGTGGTGAGCTGTGTGCCAGGTCCTCTCTATGCAGCCTCCAATGGCCAGAAGAAGCAACAGCAGTTGAAACTTCAGGAAGAGGTTTGTGAGACACTGACCATGACCTTTCCCGCCCCAGGTGGAGAACACCCCTAGCCTGGCCACCCATGACTAAGCACAGCCCTGACCTTCAAGGACAGAGAGGAACCTCCCCGCGGGTGGGCCACCTGAGACCATCGCCCCATCCCTTCCACCGTTCCTCTCCAGCTCTGCTCAGCCCTCTCTGTGCTGATGTTCCCACTCACTGCCACTGGACTGTCTCTCTTCTCTATAGGCCCGAGTGCGTCTGAAGGGTGGGGCCCGCCCCGGAGAGGGCCGGGTGGAAGTCCTAAAGGCTGGCACATGGGGCACAGTCTGTGACCGCAAGTGGGACCTACAGGCGGCCAGCGTGGTGTGTCGGGAGCTGGGCTTTGGGACCGCTCGAGAGGCTCTCAGTGGTGCCCGCATGGGGCAGGGTGAGGGGGATGAAGGTGGGAGGGAAGGGGAAGGAAGAGGTACACACCCTGGGGGAGTATAATCCTTGGGGAGGAGACCCCTGGACAATGAAAGCCCAGTTACAACCTCTTGATGTTTGTTTGGCCTTTGACCCTAGGCATGGGTGCCATCCACTTGAGTGAAGTCCGATGCTCTGGACAGGAACCCACCCTCTGGAAGTGCCCTCACAAGAACATCACAGCTGAGGACTGTTCCCATGGCCAGGATGCTGGAGTCCGATGCAACCTGCCCTACACTGGGGTAGAGACTAGGGTCAGTCATACTGTCTCCCTTGGTTCAGGTGCCTCGCATCCTATCCAGTCGTGGTCATGCTCTCAAGTGTGACCACTGGCCTAGGCCCCTGCAATACTGCAGCTCCCACCTGACACCATCGCTGTTCACCCTTTACGTGCCTCTGAATCACCCTTCAGCCACATGCCTGCTACAGACTCCCACTACCGCCCCCCCAAAAAAGCTTCCCCAGCTCTTCTATTCTGCCACTACAGATCCGACTCAGTGGGGGCCGCAGCCGACATGAAGGGCGAGTTGAGGTGCAAATAGCGGGGCCTGGGCCCCTTCGCTGGGGCCTCATCTGTGGGGATGACTGGGGGACACTGGAGGCCATGGTGGTCTGTAGGCAACTCGGACTGGGCTATGCCAACCATGGCCTGCAGGTGAGTAGGAAGGAGGGGAACTGAGACTATTGCTTCCAAAGCCTGTGTTTGGGGCCAAGGACTGTGGAAATGAGTCCCTTGGCCCAGGAGGCTGGATGGTGGGGCCTCACAAACACCTACGTATGTCCCCAGGAGACCTGGTACTGGGACTCAGGGAATGTAACAGAGGTGGTGATGAGTGGAGTGCGCTGCACTGGGACTGAGCTGTCCCTGGACCAATGTGCTCATCATGGCACCCACATCACCTGCAAGAGGACAGGAACCCGTTTCACTGCTGGAGTCATCTGTTCGGAGAGTGAGTGGAGAGCCAGCCAGGGAAGGGAGATTCTGGGCCACCCCTTTTGGAGAAAGAGGGCTTTAATCTGGAGGGATACTCCTTCTCTGTGGAAAACCAGCCTCGCACACATCCGGCGGTGGGGGGAGGAAGCACCCCTATCTGTCCTCGCCCTTCAGCAGTGACTTCTAACACTCCCCTTCCTTCCTGGGCGCAGCCGCATCAGATCTGCTGCTGCACTCAGCACTGGTGCAGGAGACCGCCTACATCGAGGACCGACCCCTGCACATGCTGTACTGCGCTGCCGAAGAGAACTGTCTGTCCCACTCGGCCCGCTCGGCCAACTGGCCTTATGGCCACCGCCGTCTACTCCGATTCTCCTCCCAGATTCACAACCTGGGAAGAGCTGACTTCAGGCCCAAGGCTGGGCGCCACTCCTGGGTGTGGCACGAGTGTCATGGGTGAGACGGTCAAGTAGAAGGGCAAAGCCAGTGGGGATAAAGTGAACCTGCTGGGCGCAGGCAAGGAAACAGGGGTTCCCTTGTCTCTTGTCCCCGCAGGCATTACCACAGTATGGACATCTTCACTCACTACGATATCCTGACCCCCAATGGCACCAAGGTGGCCGAGGGCCACAAAGCTAGTTTCTGTCTCGAAGACACCGAGTGTCAGGAGGGTGAGTGGTGCCTAGAATGAGCTACAGTATCTCCATCCCATAAGCTTGCCTCACACTGACATATGCCATGCCAACCCCTTCAGATGTCTCCAAGAGGTATGAGTGTGCCAACTTTGGAGAGCAGGGCATCACTGTGGGTTGCTGGGATCTCTACCGACATGACATTGACTGTCAGTGGATTGACATCACAGATGTGAAGCCAGGAAACTACATTCTACAGGTGCCTCGGGTCTGAGATTTCCAGCAGGTGAAGGGGCGCAGTGTTTATTCAAGACAACTTTGAATTATGTTGCCTTTCTCCAACTCATAGGTGGTCATCAACCCCAATTATGAAGTAGCAGAGACTGACTTCACCAACAATGCAATGAAATGTAACTGCAAATATGATGGACATCGCATCTGGGTGCACAACTGCCACATTGGTATTTGGTGGGAAAAGCAGCCCAGGAAGACGGGATGGGAGGGAAAGCCCTTCATTCTCTTCTCCCTAAGTTGTTTCTGTCTTCCCACCCACCTCTGGATCTCCCAGCCTCTTCATTTCCCCCAACCCTTCCCCACAAAGGGTCTGTTTCCTGCCCAAACCACCCATTCACTTTACAGGTGATGCCTTCAGTGAAGAGGCCAATAAGAGGTTCGAGCGCTACCCTGGCCAGACCAGCAACCAGATCATCTAAGGTGCCAATACCCACCTCTTCAAACCACCACTGGCCCCTAATGGTAGGGGTCTGAGGCTGCCATTACCTCAGGAGCTTAAAAGGAACCCCGGATGTCAGCAGGCCCACTGCAATCATCCAGTGTGTACTAAGGATGTGGAACTGTCAAGCATAAGTTATCAACCTCCTTCCAAGGCCAGTGGTCCGGATCTGTGGCCAAGCATGGGGAATCCTGGCTCTCAGGCCCAGCACGGAGCCGAACTCGAGACAAAGAGCAGCACTTGGTAACTGGCCAGAACAAGAGACGGCAGCAGCTCGTTTTCTCGAATAGCGAGGTCAGGACGGTCAGCTCCAGTATATCCCCTCAGTTCAGGGGAAGTACAGCTTTACCTCGAGCCTTTTTATGGGGGAAAAGATCAGTGCCCCCTCCTTCATTTTTGACTATAACATGTTGCTAGGTATAATTTTATTTTATATAAAAAATGTTTTTGTGATTCCTCAGAGCCCAGGGATTGGTGCTGGTGGTTGGAGGGACCGGCCCTCCACTGGCTCCTTTAATCCTCTGTCCAGGTGCCCTCGGAGCCTAGGCCAGGAAAGCAAGGTGGAAATCAGAGCAGGAGCCCCATTCTCTTGTTGATCCATTCATTCTGTGATTTCAGGGGTCACATATAAAGTCAATGTTTCCGGTCCCTGCCAGATCCGCACTGCCAGCTGGGATTGGGTTCGAACAGCTTCATAAATATCTTCAGCATTTTGGACCACCTGCTCCCCAATGGCCAAGATGACATCACCTGGCCGCAGACCAGCCCTAAGGCAAAGGATGGGTAGAGAGAAAGAAGGGAGCAGACAGTCCAGTTCAAGGGCACATGCACACCTTACCCATCCCCACCGCACAGTGCAGTCTCCCCCTCACCGGTGTGCAGGGGAGTCCAGGATGACTTTATGGATGAGCACACCATGTTGAACATCAGGAAAGCTTGGTTCTCGAAGCTGTAGTTCAGCAAGGATGCTGAAAGGACACAAACCATGCTGGTAACCACTCCGAGGTACTCTCAAGCCCATTTGAGGTTCACCTTAAATTTCTCAATACACTGGCAATTGTATGGACAGGGAATGCACTACGTACTCCAGATACAAAGGCAATTTACTTTCTGCCTTCTACTAGCTAGAAAATGGAACATTATAGAAAAGATACCTAATTCCATGTAACACATAATGTTAAGTCAATAGCACTAATCTCATTCTAGAATCCTAAGAGAAGCTTTAAGGGAGTAGAATTTAAGCTGAGCCTGGAGCACTGGTTCTCAACCTTGGCTGCACATTAGAATCACCTGGGAATCTTTTTAAAATCCTGATTTGAATGGCCCAGAAATCAGGATTTTAAAAAGATTCCCAGGTGATTCTAATGTGCAGCCAAGGTTGAGAACCACTGGCCTAGAAGGATAGATAGGCCTGATATTTAAGTATATAAAAAACAAGAACAACATAAATAAAGACCTGGAGTAGGAAATCAGGTTGACTGGAACAGAATGAGTATATTCACGTAGGAAGCCAGGTCTGGAAAATGGCCCCTAAACACTAAATTAACAGACTGTCAATCAAAGAAGTAATGGGATGAAATCAATCTGGTGGTAGTTGTGTAAAACGGAGTGGGGTGAAAAAGTCAAGAGAACAGCTGTTCTGTTATCTCCAGGTGTAAGATAATTCACTATAGATAAAGACAGAATTGAGAATAAAGCTCAAAAGAAATTCCATTTGCCCACCAATGTAGGTGGTCCTCATACCTGGGAGTCAGGGTCAACATCATCACCCCAATGTAGCGGCGCCGGGACCCACTGGTTCCAAACCAGGAATCTGTGATAAAAAGACAAATGAGCCTCACCTAGCTACATCCTTCCTTCCCTTCTCTCTAATCCCAGCAGACCTTCAACAAGGCCCAATGAACGCCCCACCCACCACCTAAAGGACCCTCCCCACCCCAAACCAGGCTCACTCTTCTTTTCCCCACGATGCAGAAACTCTCGAAGGCGATCAGAAGGGATGGCAAAGGAGATGCCAGCTGTGACCTTCATGGTATTCACTCCGATCACCTCCCCATCCTGCAGGGACAGAGCCCACTATTCCTTAGCCCAAACCAATAGTGGGAGATGGGGGTACTTGAACAAGAAGAATAGCAGGGAGTGTTGGGGAGGTGGGGCAATCTGGTTGGATTCTGGACGACAGCTAGCAAGGGATTGTTCAGAAACTTGGCCAAACCTCATTGAATTGGGGGAAAGCCCACCCCTCTCCACACTGACCTGGGGCAGGGATTCCTGGAAAGAAGAATGTCCCACTCACCAGGTTAACCAGGGGACCTCCAGAATTTCCAAACTGCAGGACAAGGAGAAAACATGGAAGAGATCCAGGGACTCTATGCCTGGGGGCATACCAGGATGTAGGCCTTTTTTCTCCAAATTATCTCCTTTCCCAGCCCTTGAACAGGGGCCACATTTTTGTACCCCAACTTCAATATACACGGGCGGGCAAAAGTAGCTTTACAGTTGTAATACAGTAAGCAATAACAACACAATAATAAGTAATAATTCAAGGATAAACTGTGTTTCATGTACTCACAACTCTAGATACTCTTGCCCAGCCCTTTACAGGCTCATCCACCATCTATCACACTTGGTGCCTGCACCACACAGCCTCGCCCCTTCTCCCAGCCTAGATCGTCACCCCCACCCCACCTCCCAACCCCCCCATCAGTACGCACATCAATGGCTGCATCAGTCTGGATGTATTCCACATTGTTTTGGGGGAGGCCCAGTTCTTTGGCCGGATACCATCTGCTCCCCAATGGCCAAGATGACGTCACCTGGCCGCAGCCCAGCCCAGTGTGCGGGTGAGTCCAGGATGATTTTATGGATGAGCACACCATGTTGAACATCAGGAAAGCTTGGTTCTTGACGCTGTAGTTCAGCAAGGATGCTCGGAGTCAGGGTCAACATCATCACCCCAATGTAGCGGCGCTGGGACCCACTGGTTCCAAATGAGGAATTCTTCTTTTCCCCATGATGTAGAAACTCTCGAAGGCGATCAGAAGGGATGGCAAAGGAGATGCCAGCTGTGACCTTCATGGTATTCACTCCGATCACCTCCCCATCCAGGTTAACCAGGGAACCTCCAGAATTTCCGAAATCAATGGCTGCATCAGTCTGGATGTATTCCAGATTGTTTTGGGGGAGGCCCAGTTCTTTGGCCGGACGCTGAACCGAGCTGACGATGCCGGACGTGATCGTGTTCTGCAGTGCAAAGGGGCTTCCCATGGCCACCACAAACTCCCCTTGCCGGACATCAGCGAGCGTCCCAGGGGCAGCGTGGAGAGAGGCTCCTTGGTCTGGATCCTCAGCGTGGCGATGTCGGCCACCGGATCCACGGCTGTGACCGTGGCTTCGTAGGTGTCGCCGCTGGGCAGCCTCACACAAACGCGCGCCGATCAGCCACCACGTGGGCATTGGTCAGGATGAGCCCGTCTGCAGCCACCACGAATCCTGAGCCGTTCGAGATGGGGACTTTGCGGCCAGAAAAGGGGTGTCGGCCCAGGATCTCGATATAAACAACCGCAAGTGCGGTCTTCTCCACCACGTCTGCGATGAAGTTGTACTGGCTCTGGGGAGAGGTGGGCGGCGGGCGAAGGACAGCGGCCAAGACGGCCGGGGGACCCCGCCCCCCGCCCCACAGCAACAGGAGCACTGCCCCCCCAGCGCCCAGGGCCACAGCCAGCCACGTGCGCGGAGGGGACCTAGGGGTCCCTGAGCCCTCCCGGGTCTGAGGATCCGGGGCTCCCGCAGTCAGCTGTGCTCGGGAATCCGAAGTCCCCGGCGTCAGACACGTTCGTGGTCCAGGGACCCCCACAGAGAACCGGGCCCGGAGACTGGGGGTCCCATAAGTCACTCGGGCCCGAGGGGTTCCTGACGTCAGCAGGGCCCGGAGGGCAGGGGTCAAAAGGG